CGTGGTGGGCAGGGGGTTCCCTCCCGAACGCGGGCAGAGCCATCGTCCATCCGGCATCGGAGAGGGGGTGACGGGACCGTGGCCGCCGCAGGTGGGCTGCCCCCGGGCGCCTGGCGCTCACCGCCGAGACCTTCCCGTCGCAGCACGTGCCGTGCCGCAGGAGCGTGGCGCAGGTGGAGGAAGGGACGCAGGTGAGGGCAGGCCGTGGGAGCGCGCGGCTCGGTCCCCTCCGGGAAGCCCGGGGTGGGGTTTGGCTCCTGGAGACCCATGTAGGGATGGGGGCACCACGTCCCTCCATCCCCCTCCCTGGGGCTCGTTCTGAGCTTGATGGCAAGGATGCTCCTGGCCCTAGACCACCCCTTCGCTCGAGATGCTCCTCAAGCAGCAGTGGTCAGTAGGCAAGAAGAGGAGGAAGAGCAAGGACGGGACCCATCGGGACAGGAGCTCCAAGGAAGGGACCCACCAGGATGGGACCCACCAGGATGGGACCCATCGGGACAGGAGGTCCAAGGAAGGGACCCACCGAGACTGGACCCACCAGGACGGGACCCATCGGGACAGGAGCTCCAAGGAAGGGACCCACCAGGACCGGACCCACCGAGACTGGACCCACCAGGACGGCACCCACCAGGACGGGACCCATCGCGACAGGAGCTCCAAGGAAGGGACCCACCGAGACTGGACCCACCAGGACAGGACCCGTCGGGACAGGAGCGCCAAGGAAGGGACCCACCGAGACTGGACCCACCAGGATGGGATCCACAAGGACGGGACCCACAGCCGGGCTTGGCAGGAGCGTCACGCTTCCCATGACAGCAAGGACAGGGACAGGCTGCACTGGGTGTCACCATCCAGTGGTCTCAGCCCCACTGAGGACGAGGACAGCGAGGTGCCGGGGATGCTGGTGACTGACATGACCCAGGGCAGGTAACACGGGGAGCTGCTGATTCTAATGTGCGGGTTCAGGAGCTGGCGCCCTGCAGGGTCCTCCAGGTGAGGGGCAGGCGCTCAGGGCTAATACTCAGTGCCCGTCTGCTCCCTTGATAGGAAGAGCAAAGTCTCCCACGACCTCTATCCAGAGAAGGCAGGAGAGGAGGAGGAGGAGGAGGACCAGGATGTGCTGGAGAAGGAAGGTAACCCCCTGCGTTCATCCCGCTGCA